ATATTATCGTTTATCGCAATAAATTTTGAGACAATTAATCGCCCAGCAAAATTTGTTATCGTGACAGGCCTACTCGATGCAAGGTTAATAAAAAGGTTTATTTTGTGCCCCAAAGTCAGAACAGTTCCATAAATCTTTTGAGCCAAGGCGTTCCGGACCACGTTGACTGATCTAGACTGCCTGCTTTATAGATGGCATCTCCTTCGTTTCTCCTTTTGGGCGGTCTTCTCTCGAAGAGGTCCGCCCGTTTTTCCTTTCTCGAAACTTCTTGGCTTCGGTTTTAATGGTGTAACGTTTTCCCTCTACTCCTGAGCGCCCCTTAATGGTTGCCCGATCTTCGAACTCATGACACAATTGTCTTCACTTTTTCATGATCCTTGGTTTTTTACACGCTTAAAACTAAACTCTAAATTATACAGTTTTTTAAAAAACTTCAAACTGTGTGTTTTTAATTCATGCATACAATGTTTCACATGTGTTAGTAACAGACGGTATTTCATTCAGGTTAATGCATAGTTCAGTACATCAAGGAYACATGTTATTTGAACAGCTTCAATTTAATACATTTCATGTATAGATATATGATCACACAGCCTTTTAGAAGTGTCCACTCGTAAATATGCTGCTACCTAGCATTACATGGTCTTCACTCTTTGATTCTTAATACGTTAGCCAAAGTGCGGGTTTTTCCGTATAACTAATGGCCTCATTTGTCTTGTTACAGCGAGTCTTGTCTATTTAACAATTGATTCTCCAAAAACCCCAGCTAAAGTTTTTTCTCTCACCTGCTCTGGTTGGGACTTTTCTTCGCCCATAAATTTGAACCTTCTGCCAGCTTCGGCAAATCTCTTGTCACTTCAAACAGGTTTTTCCACTAATTTTCTTACAGGCTGACAGCTCACAGGCTTATATACCGTAGTCATCTACAGGCGTCTACAGTCTGTCTACATATGCATGCAGACTGGGATATTACAGTTCAAGCCTGATGTACAGTCTATGCCCACATATGCATGCAGCCTGGGACATTCCTGCATTTACAACATTATCTACTGATTCATCACACAATTATGTTTTGTAATAAACGCTCTTCTGCATTCTACTAATACATAGTTTTGTGACTAATGATTGTAAAGAAGAAGATAACACACATTCTGTAATTACAGTATTTACTTCAATTACTTGAGTAAAAGTCCTGAAGTATCTGACATTTAATGTGCTTAAAGGGGCAATATCATGTAAAATCAATTTTTTTGAGTTTTATATCATGTTATAATGTTATACTCATAAAAAACATGCCCAAAGCCTTGCTCTGACTCATTCATGCATGTTTGAGAAATCCTGCAGTGTTTTTAGCAATCCTTCAGCAATCCTAAGTGAAAGTGCCAGTAAATTGTTTAGTTTTAACATCAGAACTGACATTTTACTGTTCTATATAAGTAATCTGAGTTTAATGTGAAAGAAAAGTCGGACGCGGGTTTTTATCTCACTTTAACTTGGACGCTTGTTATAGGAAATCCACAATCAGGTGTAACATGATTTGTTTAATTTGTGTAAATAAATGATTGCGTAATCTTTTATGAATCAATTTGAACTCGTCTGACGTTCCCTTATTGTGTCACTCTTCACTTTGTACAGACAAATATTAAAGTAATGAGAAAAACCTTGGTAAAATTTTCTCTCATAACTTTGTTATGAGAAGATGTAGGAAGACTTATTTTACATAAGTCACTCCTTCCTACATATTGCTGAGGAGCAAAACGACAGGTGGGGACCAGAAACACCTTTTGGTACCAGAAACACCCCTGGGACATGTCTTTAAGACTAACTTCCTCATGGCAGAGTGCACCCCCTCCCCCCGTCCCCACACAC